GGACTGGTGTCAGGGTTCCTTCCCCACTCTGAACTCTAGGGTACATGAAAGACTCCCTAAGATTATTTTTACCAGCTTAGGTTAAAAACTTTCCCAAGGCACAAACTTTGCCTTGTCTTTGAACAGTATGCTGCCACCACCAAGTGATTTAGACAAAGAACAGGGAAAGGACCACTTGGAGTTCCTATTTCCCCAAAATATCCCCCCCAAGCCCTTACACCCCCTTTCCTGGGGAGGCTCAAGAATAAACAAGATGAGCACAGACCAGCCTTGGATTTTTAACACCCAAAAAACCCAATCAGATTCTTAAAAAACAGAACTTTATTAGAAGAACAAAAAAAGATAAGAGAACAACTCTGTAAGATCAGAATGGAAGATAATCTTACAGGCAATCAGATTCAAAACATAGAGAATCCCTCTAGGCAAAACCTTAAGTTACAAAAAGACACAAAAACAGGAATACACATTTCCTCCAGCACAGCGAATTTCACAAGCCAAAACAAAGAAAACCTAACGCATTTTCTAGCTAGATTACTTACTAACTTTACAGGAGTTGGAGGGCTTGCATCCTTGATCTGTTCCTGGCAAAGGTATCACACAGACAGACAAAAGCCTTCCCCCCCTCAAGATTTTAAAGTATCTTGTCCCCTCATTGGTCATTTTGGGCCAGATGCCAGCCAAGTTACCTGAGCTTCTTAACCCTTTACAGGTACAAGGATTTTGCCTCTGGCCAGGAGGGATTTTATAGCACTGTATACAGAAAGGTGGTTACCCTTCCCTTTGTATGTATGACAACTGGCAACTCCGGCAGCTGCGTGGGGGTGTGATCAAGCTGCTTGCTTCTGAACAGGAGAGACTCTCCTTCCCACTCTATCTGTGCTCTGTATGGGGTTTGTAGACCCCCTTACACCTTTTACATGATTTTGTTACAAAGGCCCCAGTTCAGCAAGCTGCATGTGCCTAACTTTAAAGACGTGAGTGGTCCTACTGAAGTCACTGTCACTACTCACACAATTAATAGGCATGCACTGAAGTGCCTTGCTGAAGTGGGACCTAAGAAAGGAAAACAAAAGTTTGTAGGCCTCGTGGAAGAAGTGTGTTTTAAGTAAGAGTTAAATGAAGAGAGGAACCAGAGACTCATAGACTTTGAGGCCAGAGGGGACCATCATGATCATCTAATCAGACCTCCTGCACATTGCAGACCACAGAACCTCATCCACCACTCTTGTAGTAGGCCCATAACCTCTAGCTGAGTTATTGAAGTCCTCAAATCATGACTTAAAGACTTCAGGTTACAGAGAATCCAGCATTTACTCTAGTTCAAACCAGCAAGTGACCATGGCCCCACACGGCAGAGGAAGCCGAAAACCCCCAAGGGTCTCTGCCAAATCTCACCTGGGGGAAAATTCCTTCCCAACCTCAAATATGGTGATCAGTTAGACGCTGAACATGTGGGCAAGACCCACAAGCCAGACACCTGGGAAAGATTTCTCTGTAGTAATTCGGAGCCCTCCCCATCTAGTGTTCCATATCCGGCCATTGGAGAGATTCGCTAATAGAAGTTGCAGGTGGACCACATGCCATTGTAGGTAACCCCATCCCTCCATAAACTTATCAACCTCAGTCTTGAAACAAGTTATTTTTCCCTCCCGACCCCTCGCCAACTGCCTGCTGCTCCCCTTGGAAAGCAATCCCAGAATTTCACTCCTCTGATGGTTAGAAACCTTCATCTCATTTCAAGCCTAAACTTGGTGATAGTCAGTTTATATCCATTTCTCCTTGTGCCAAGACTGGCCCCTAACTTAAATAACTCCTCTCCCTCCCTGGGTCCTTACACTCAATATTAGAATCAGACATGGAGATTACATGAGCATCTCCCAATCACCTCCCCTGAATTCCTAGTTTAAACTCTTTTAATCAGCTGAGTCAACCTCCATCCCAGAAGTCTATTCCCCTCCCTAGTCAGGTGGAATCCATCCCATGAGAACAGTCCTCTGTCCATGAATACATCCTAGTGGTCAAACATCCCAAAGCCTTCCTTATTGCACCACTGCCCGAGCCATCTGTGGATCATCATAGTCTTGTTTCGCTTTTGCTCTCCTCCAATAGGGACAGATAGAATCCCACTGAAAATCACCTGAACCTCCATTTTTTCAAGCATCTTCCCCAACCTGGTATAGTCCTCCTTGATGCATCCCTGCAAGAATCTAGCACTATTATTTGTTCCCACATGAAGGACAATCAGTGGATTCTTTCCTGTTCCTATTAAGATCCTCTGCAGCCTCAGTCTATATTCTGTATCTTAGCTCCTGGCAGACAACACACCCTTCTGTTCTCTGGATCAGCTCTGGTGACAGACCTATCCATTCTTCTTAGTAGGTAGTCCCCAGTCCTGTAGGCCTGTCTCTTGCAGTTCTTTGTGCTATTCTCTGACCTTCCACCTTCTTCTTATCTTCTGTTCTCACTTGCAATCTTCTGAGAGTCATTCTCTATCCTCCTGAGGCTCCAAACTCCGTCAATTTCCATTGTCTCTTGCCCATCTCTTCCCTTCTTCCTTGCTGTCCCATCTTTGGTTATTGCCTGCCTCTCCCCTTCATATTCCAACTCAGTGAACCTGTCCCTCAGCTGTGTTTCTTCTTCTTCACGGGCCCATCTTTTCCTCTGTCTTGTTCTCATAGTCACATGCTTCCACGAGCACTTTCTTCATCCAGCCATTTCTTGTCCAGCATAGATCTGCAAGTCTTGAGTTTTCTCTTCAATCTCTTCTCTCCTTCCCTCCATCATCCACTAAAATCCCTTTTGAAACTCAACCGTAGTTTCTAGCTGCATCTTTAAACCCTGGATCTTCTCTTTCATCAGATCTGTCAGGCAGCACTTCATATAAATGAAGCCCCTTTCAAGTATTCTCTCCAGAATAATGTACATCCCACAGCTTCCACCTCCAGTCATTTTCATTGTCTCTTCCATTCTTCAGGAATCCGTAGCTGTCATAGCCTTTCTTCTTAAACACCTATCAAGAAGAAAACAAAAAACAAACAACCCCCCCGCCACACACACACACACACACACACACAACATAACCTGTCCCCTAAACTCCCACTCAAACTCCCCTTTTTCAGCTGTTTGATGGCTTGTGCTCCTGTGCCACTGGCTGGACAGCTACTGTCTTTATAGGAGTGCTGTCTAGGGAAGCTCCACTCCCTAATTAAGGTTCAACTGTGACCAAAGGCTCTACTTCTCTTACAACAGGCTGCCCCACCAGACTTTACAAATGAAAACAAACCAGCAAGCAACAAACACACTCAAGAACTCACTCACTGTCTCTAAGGAACAGATCTGGTTAGGAGAGGGATCTTTGTGGAATGGAAGAATACACAAAACGGAGAATTGGAGAAGGAACTAAAAAGACTGGTTAGTCATGCAGCGTGGGCAGAGTGGAGCGAACAAAAGGAAGGTGAAGTGATGGAGCAGATAGATAGATATGCAGGAGCTAAAGTGGAGGGCTTTGGCATTAAGGATAAGGCACAGAAAATAAGGGGACCCAGTGAAGGGTGCTAAAGAGGGACTGGACGTTGACAGAGAGGTGAGCAAGGTAGATTATTTTCACAGCAGCATTTTGACAGGGGTAAGGCAAAGGTGTGAGCAAGGTGAGAGGCAGTGAGGTCAGAGATGAGGAGTTTGCAGTAGTCAAAGCCCAAGATGATCAGGGCCTGAGCAAGGATTTTAGGGCAGACTTTGGAGATATTGGAGGGGAAAAATAGGTAGGATTTAGCAACAGTATCGCTGGAGATGGGCAAATGTCTAAACTTCTTTAGTCATGAAAACAGACTGGAAATTTTGCAAGTACAGATTTTCTCCTGAAAGTTTCTGAGTTTGAAAGGTTCACAAGAATAGCTTCGTCCACAACAATAACTTTTCTCATTGTGATTCAGAATTTCTGCTTCCTTTATGTCTGAAATCAGGAAGCACAGAAACACACAAAATATTTTAAAAAGCTACTGAAACTTTTTGACATCTCCCCCCCAAATGAATTTGGGGGGGTATTGTTACAAATTAGGGTGAAGATTCACATTTTAGTAGCACCAATTTGCCCCTTTTGCATGAATCATTCGCAAATGTAGATTATAGGACAGATTCTAAGGTCTTCGCTCCATTTTTAGTCAACTCCCGTGGCAGTTTTACCAGAGTGAGGAATGAGTAGAAACTGATGTTAACTCCAGAACTTGTCCTTACATTTGGACTCTTGACTCATTGCAGCCTGAGTTGAGCTCTTTGGGACACAGACTTTATTCTCCCATGTGTGGACACATTGTGGGCTCTGCTGGAACTAACAGTATATGATAGATACAATTTTGTTGTATTAGTTGTATAAGCATAAGGTACAACCTTGACAGGATGCACTGGATGTAGTTGGTAAATTTAAATTGCAGTTCTATTCATGGTTAAACAAGCCTGCTCCTGCTTAAAGCTCTTATCTTTGTGTATGGAATATTTTCAAGGACACTTAACAGAGTTCAAATCTTCAGTCTCAGCTGCTGTGTGAGGCAGAAGAAATACAAGGATTATACACAGATTGCTCTTATGCATTAAAGTGCATTTCCTTCTCTGAAAAGTGACTATGCAAAAAAGTGTCACATTTTAACTCAACAGATCTACTCCCTCTGGGTGAAATACACTGCATCATGCAGACAAAATGCACATGGGGCAGACGGGCGTGAAATCTACCACCCACACTCAATCTGGGGCCAGGGTGCAGTGTTTCTGTGATCGCAATCTGTTTTATGGGCTGGAATAGCAGCATCTGTCCGTCCATGCTGTGTGTGTGCACATGGTATTAGTCCCCTCTCCAGACTTGCTCCACAGCTGGAAGAGAGAGTGAGCTGAATTCTATTAATTGTTAACAGGTTTCAATTACAGGGCAAAATTCTCCACTCCATTACACCCGTGCAATTCTAGCAGCAGCCAGTGAAGTCATATGATAGTTGTTGTTGTAGGCGACTCATCAGCTGCTACATCACCATTTTGGGGGAGTTGAGTGGGACCTACATAGTCATAGATATATGGCCCACATCCTACTTCACCACAAATCTCCTGCGGCACAGGACGCTCCCAGGTGAGGTGCAGAACTCTTCAGAAGTTTCCCAAATCCTTCCCTCCACAAGCTGTGGAACTGCCCCAGTTCCAAGGGGTTCAAGGTCCTTGTGAAGACAGGATTTTCTGTTAGAGTTTTTGAGTTTTCTCAAACGAGAGTGTCCAAAACTGCATGTGCACCTACTTGGCTACACAGTTTTAAAGGCTAGATTTGGAGGTCTCTAAAATGTAATCCAGTATGTTCTCATTTTTTTTTCCAGAAGGAATCCCGAGGCTTTACTTTGGATGGCTAGTTGTGGTAGGGGCGGTGAGTTAGGTCCTGGATGTATACATGCCTGCCCAAAGTTTTGCTTACCAAATTCATCCCCAAGACAGTAGATTCCACAGTTACTGTGAATATTTTTATACTAAGAAGGAAATATTTCTGTCAGTACTTGACATTTTAAAAACGTGTGTTGTATTTACATTTCCTTTGTTAGATAATTGGATGTAACAGTGTAGCATTCTCTTTCAACCTGAATTCCACAGACTGCTGTTGTTATCAGTAATAGAATTGCACTGGAATGTGTGTGATAGGAGAACAATAGCTCCATTATGACCTACTAACATGCTAATCTAGTTTGAGTTTAAAAAAACCCCCAAACTTGTATAGTAAATGAAGCACAGTGAAATGGCTGAATTAGAGTTGAATTAGTTTCTGTAATACCAGAAACTGTGATCTGTGACCTCTTTCTTTTAAAAAGTAATTGAATTCCAATAGTATTTATGACAGGTTTCAGAGTAGCAGCCATGTTAGTCTGTATTCGCATGTGTATCCGATGAAGTGAGCTGTAGCTCACGAAAGCTTATGCTCAGATAAATTGGTTAGTCTCTAAGGTGCCACAAGTACTCCTTTTTTTTTTTGCAAATAGTATTTATATTGCCATTTCTAATTAGCATAGAGTGTCAGTATTTTATTCATTTTTTTTTACTTGCATTGCTTAGCTTTCACTTTTTAAACTAGCCAGTTAAAGAATATTCCCCACCCCCAACATTAAGGACAAGTCTTCTGACATATTAGTAACACCCTATTTATGTTAAGGAAATTTGGTGTAACTACAATGGTCAGTGCCCTCCCATCACTGGGGCATCAGAACACATCACAGTCCTTTATGCATTTTTCCTCTCCTCTGAAGTAGGGAAATACTATTATCCACTTATGGGGAACTGAAGCACCAAGAGGCTGACTTGGCCAAGGGCATACAGGAAGTCTGTGGCAGAGCAAGGCATTGAACTTGGGCTTCCTAAGTCCTAGGCTAATACCCTAACCACTTGACTATCCTTTCTCTGTCAATGATGAAGCCAAAATGGCACCCAGCAGAGTTTACATCAATGCAGTTTATTCTGGTATGTTACCAGATGAACTACACTTCCATAAATCCTGCGTTGTGCAAATGCAGTGCATTTACATTAGGGATTTGCACAGGTGTAACTATAGTATTGATGTACTTGCACTGATGTGAATTTCCTTAACACAGACAAGGCCTAAGAGTGCCTCTTAGTAAAAAATGCAATGGTACTGTGTGAACCTTGGAAGCAATATAAAGGATCTGACGTAACATACATACACCCTCAGTCCATTGACTTCAGCAGGTCTTGGATTAGGTCCACACTGTCTTAAGGCTTGATTCTTCTCTCATTGAACTCATTGCCCCTTTACAGTCAAATTTTCAAAGGTATTTAGATGCCTAAAGATGCAGATAGATGTGTAGTAGGATTTTCAAAAGTGTCTTAGCTCCCACTGAAATCAGCGTAGGCTCGTAAGTCACTTAGGCACTTTAAAAAATGTATCCCTTATCTGTTTTAGTGAAAACTTGATACCTTTTCTTGCTAATTTAATGTATCAGCTGCTGCTAGCTCATATGTTATTTCCACTGTCATAGAGAAAAAGATATTGATTGTTTCCTTTCTTCTACTGGATCCTGGGTAACTGAGCTGTCTCCTTCACTGCAGGGAAACCAGATTTACTCATTAATTTCAGATGCTTAATTAAATCAGTTGAAGGTTTCTAATTTCATTGTGTCCATTCAAATGCTTAAATACATTTATTGTACCAGTAGAATTGTTCCAGCTGTTTAAGGATACATTAGTACTGGCATCTCTTAAAATAAAGAGGTTCTGGTTAGTGTATCTGGTTCATGAGTCACACTTTCTAACTCAATTTAAAATAATGGCACCACATTAAAAAAGTAAGCATCTCTTAATATTGTATAGATTCTGTATACTATATGTATAGTGTAGTTTCATAAATCAGGTGGAAAAGTTGTTGAACTTTGTAAGGGTACATTGGATATGTGTCTGTTAAATATACTTTGCACTCAAGAACAAAGATATCATGCATGGGAGTTGCCAGATAGACACGACTTAACAAGAACACTTGTTTAGTTGTAAGATATTGTATTCATAGACAGATGCTACATTGGTGTATCCATTTTCAGGTTTGTACCCAACCTATAAAAACAATGGGCCTAGCTTGTCACTGCCTTGCATCTTCTGTCTTCATTTGATACCTGTGCACAGTAGGTGTAAAATGTTTGGCACCCATGTTGCTGTCAGCTTGCACAAGTACAAATGACTGCATAGGCAGTGAAGAATAAGGCCTTATCAGTAGTGCTGGGAGGTAGAGAGACAGGGAAGTTAAATTCCAATCATACATAAAGAAATACAAGTAATAAAAATACCATTAGAGTCTTGAAGGCCAAGAAACTCTAAATTGAGAATTAAGTTTTAAAAATATATACTAGAACGTATGGTAATACATGTTTAAGGTTTTTCTAATCTTCCATGCACTCCATAAGGGAGTCACAGACTGTCAAAGATTCAAATAAATCCTGTCAAATAACTCCAGAATTACCCATCTCTACTTTCCCAAAATATGCTCACAGGAGAATATGAGTTATCACTCAGAACATCTAAAAAAACTAAATGTAGAGTTGACCAATCCATTTTTGACATATGAGAGTCTAAAAAAAGGTTAGAAGCATTTCACGTTCTCTGCATTTCCTAACTCCCATATCTCATGAATGCCTTTTCTGATAACCCTCAAACTTTCCCCCAAAAATTCCTTTGGCAGAAGACCAAGTATGAGAAATATCAGTCAGCTGGATTTTGTTCTGAAGAAAAGGGAGTGTGTGTCAATTTCAGTTACAGCTTTAACTGTGAGCTACTTCTGTGGCATCAAAAATACCTAGAGGCTTCTGTTTAAGTCTGTTCCCTAGTTCATGGGTATGCTAAGTGATATGCAAATCAGACACCATATACTGTTACAGTTACTATTACAATTGACAGAACAGGACTTAGTTCAATAAAAATATCCCTTGAGAAGTAGGAGATTTTTGTAGATTTTAGCTATAATTTATCTGTAAATAGGCTACCGATTAAAATGGAAATAAAAAGTACCTATTAAAGCTGATGTTGATGTCAGTGAGAACAGAAATGGATCATAGTTCTGTATAAACTCAAGAAGAATGAAATTTGCAACACATAGTAGCATCAGAGTAGTGTCCCAGATTCCATATCAGCTTCACTGCCCCAGATTCCACATCAGGTTCTTTTTCTAACTAGGTTTGAGTTTCTATTGTGATTCTCAATCCAATGTCATGTATATTTATAATACATGGAAGCAAAAAGGCATGATTAGTCATGGGTATATGGATATTGATTTGTCTCAAGTAGCAAATTGGATTGACTCTGACAACCCATGACATGACCACATACATAAAAATACATGGGGCCTAATTTTCATTTACATTAAGGGTAGATCTACACTGGAAAGAAAAATCCATGGCGCCATGTCTCAGAGCCTGGGTCAATTGACTTGGGCTGATGTGGCTCAGGCTGCGGGGCTAAAAATAGCAATGTAGATATTTCTGCTCAGGCTGGAGTGCAAGCTTTGAGACTCAGTGTGCAGATTTTTCTTTGTGGTGTAGACATATGCTGAGGCCCCATTACATCACTGTGGCAGTGTAAAGTGTGTGTACATTACATTTAAAGTAGGGCTGTCAATTGATTAAAAAAATTAATTGCGATTAATTGCTCTGTTAAACAATAATAGAATATCATTTATTTAAATATTTTGGAGGTTTTCTACATTTTCAAGTATATTGATTTCAATTACAACACAGAATACAAAGTGTACAGTACTCACTTTAAATTTGTTTTTATTACAAATATTTCCACTGTAAAAAACAAAAGAAATTGTATTTTTCAATTCACCTAATACAAGTATTGTAGTGCAATCTCTTTATCATGAAAGTTGAACTTACAAATGTAGTCTTATGTACAAAAAAACCCCTGCATTCAAAAATAAAAAGTCAAACTTTAGAGCCTACAAGTTCACTCAGTCCTACTTCTTGTTCAGCCAATTGCTCAGACAAACAAGTTTGGTTACAATTTGCAGGAAATAATGCTGCCCATTTCTTGTGTACAATGTCACCTGAAAGTGAGAACAGGCACTGTTGTAGCCAGCATTGCAAGATATTTATGTGCCAGATGTGCTAAAGATTCATATGTCCCTTCATGCTTCAACCACCATTCCAGAGGACATGCGTCCATGCTGATGTCGGGTTCTGCTCGATAACGATCCAAAACAGAGCGGCCGATGCATATTCATTTTCATCATCTGAATCAGATGCCAGCAGCACAAAGTTTTTTTTTGTTTTTTGGTGGTTCAGCTTCTGTAGTTTCTGTACCTGAGTGTTGCTCTTTTAAGACTTCTGAAAGCATGCTCCACACCTCATCCCTCTCAGATCTTGGATGGAACTTCAGATTCTTAAATCTTGGTTGAGTGCTGTAGCTATTTTTAGAAATCTCACATTGGTATCTTTTTTGCTTTTTTTCTAATCTTCTGTGAAAGTGTTCTTAAAATGAACATGTGCTGGGTCATCATCCGAGATTGCTATAACATGAAATATATGGCAGAATGTGGGTAAAACAGAGCTGGGGACATACAATTCTCCCTCCAGGAGTTCAGTCACAAATTTAATTAACACATTATTTTTTTAATGAGCATCATCAACATGGAAGCATGTCCTCTGGAATGGTGGCCGAAGCATGAAGGGGCATATGAATGTTTAGCATATCTGGCATGTACATACCTTGCAACGCTGGCTACAAAAGTGTCATGCGAATGCCTGTTCTCACTTTCAGGTGACACTGTAAATAAGAAGCAGGCAGCATTATCTCTGGTAAATGTAAACAAACTTGTTTGTCTTAGCAATTGGCTGAACATGAAGTAGGACTAAGTAGACTTGTAAAATTTTAGAGCCTACATTGTTTTGTTTTTGAGTGCAGTTATGTAACAAAAAAAAATCTACATTTGTAAGTTATACTTTCACGATAAAGAGATTGCACTACAGTGCGTGTATGAGGTGAATTGAAAAATACTATTTCTTTTATCATTTTTACAATGCAAATATTTGCAATAAAAATAATAATAATAATATAAAATTAGCACTGTACACTTTGTATTTGAAAATGTAGAAAACATCCAAAATATTTAATAAATTTCTATTGGTATTCTATTGTTTAACTATGTGATTAATCGTGATTAATTTTTTAAATCACGATTAATTTTTTTTTAGTTAATCGCATGAGTTAACGGTGATTGACAGCCCTAATTTGAAGTTAATTAAATTACATTTACACCCATTTTAAGGCACATTTATGTTGCCAGAGCAGTGTAAAGAGGTCTTGGTGTGAAGAAGAATAAGGCTCACTACAAAGAAATAAAATGCTCCACAGGAAGGGGTGAAGAATGGGAGGGATATTAGCAATTGCTCACAGCAACTAAAACACTGAGTAATTTAGCAATTAGACATTTGGTCAACACTTGGAACATGGACTGCATTAAGGTGCGTACTGATCAATAGTGAGCTCAAATCAAATTGAACTAAAAACAGTATCACAAACAGTAAACCTTAATTCTAGTATCAAACACAATTGAAAAATCAGAGAGGGGACAATGTAGAAGACATTTTTTAAAAAAAATCTAAAGGTCTGATTCTAGTGTTAAGCTTTGTTGTTAGTTTAAGTGCAACGTTCTTTTATTGTCAGAACATTTTGTTCCAGTATGGATTAATCAGAAAATATTTTGTGCCTCGCTAAAGTGCAGACTATGCTTCCTACACAAACGGTTTTGGAAATACATCTAAGTCTACACATTTGATTAGGAAAAAAAATGATTAAAGGCCAAAATGCTGACATTCTCCACTGGCTGAACATATACAATTTCTATTAAGATTAATGGGAGTTATGAAAGACCATCATGAATGATGATGAGGAACTAGACCCTGTACAATGATTTTGTAAATACAGATGCTTCCCGAGTTACACAAGGCATTCCGGAACGGAATGATTGCGTAAGTCGGGGAGCATCTGTATATATAACTCCAAATACCACAATCTGATGTGATGACTGGTAGGCAGGAAAAGGCATCGGTGACTAAACTCAGAGATCAGATTGACAGAGCCAGAAGAGTACCCAGAAGTCACCTACTACAGGACAGGCCCAACAAAGAAAATAACAGAACGCCACTAGCCATCACCTTCAGCCCCCAACTAAAACCTCTCCAACGCATCATCAAGGATCTACAACCTATCCTGAAGGACGACCCATCACTCTCACAGATCTTGGGAGACAGGCCAGTCCTTGCTTATAGACAGCCCCCCAACCTGAAGCAAATACTCACCAGCAACCACACACCACACAACAGAACCACTAACCCAGGAACCTATCCTTGCAACAAAGCCCGTTGCCAACTGTGTCCACATATCTATTCAGGGGACACCATCATAGGGCCTAATCACATCAGCCACACTATCAGAGGCTCGTTCACCTGCACATCTACCAATGTGATATATGCCATCATGTGCCAGCAATGCCCCTCTGCCATGTACATTGGTCAAACTTGACAGTCTCTATGTAAAAGAATAAATGGACATAAATCAGACGTCAAGAATTATAACATTCAAAAACCAGTTGGAGAACACTTCAATCTCTCTGGTCACTCGATTACAGACCTAAAAGTGGCAATACTTCAACAAAAAAACTTCAAAAACAGACTCCAATGAGAGACTGCTGAATTGGAATTAATTTGCAAACCGAATACAATTAACTTAGGCTTGAATAGAGACTGGGAGTGGATGGGTCATTACACAAAGTAAAACTATTTCCCCAGGTTTATCCCCCCAACCCCCACCCCACACTGTTCCTCAGACGTTCTTGTCAACTGCTGGAAATGGCCCATCTTGATTATCACTACAAAAGGTTTCCACCCTCCCCCGCCCGGCTCTCCTGCTGGTAATAGCTCACCTTAAGTGATCACTCTGGTTACAGTGTGTATGGTAACCCATTGTTTCATGTTCTCTATGTATATAAATCACCCCACTGTATTTTCCACTGAATGCATCCGATGAAGTGAGCTGTAGCTCACAAAAGCTTATGCTCAAATAAATTTGTCTCTTAGGTCCCACAAGTACTCCTTTTCTTTAAACTCAGAGAATGCGCAAAAAAATTTTAGCTTACCAAAAGCTTTGAAAAATAACTATTTAGAATATGCACACGAGATATAATCTTTCTAGCATATGTGTAGGCATGTCATTCATAGTGTGGTTTTCAAAATCCAATGTAAAGTTTGAAATATAAGAACAGATGGTTTGATGTTCCACATTAGAATACTGGTTCAAATCTCGTGTCCAGCATTCAGCAATACTCAATGTCTGATGCTTTTGAGAAAGGTAACCACACTGGTTTGCCACAATGCATCTGGTTAATTGTGCAATATGTGTATATAGGAGGAAAAATTCCTTCCTGAGCCACATGCTCAGTTTATTCCGTGAAGCAAAAATTTTTATCACACTTTTCATCATTTTAGCTTGCATGAACAATTTAGAGATTGTAATTTGGTGTTATCTCTCTGTAGAGCTTAATTCCCTGGAAGAAGAAGAGTAAGCTAAATAAAAACTATAACTAGCTTTATCACTATTCTTTAGTATCCATGTAGAAATAGAAAAAAACAAACACTAAATAAGGGGCCTAATTCAAGTTGAGTTAAAGTCAATGGGAGTCTTTCCATTGAAACACCGTATTAAATGTTCCACCAGGAGACATTAAATGGTCCACCATCTCTGGAACAGACAATTAGATTGAGCTAGATAACTAAAATAATTAATAATATTTTAACAGACAAATGTAAAATACATTATTTTTATATTTAAGAACTCCACATGGTCTCCTCCCACCACCACCTTCACTACCACTCTCAAACAGGAAAAATACAGAGAATTTTCTCCTGTCTGTTGTTTTTAATACATCATCCCTTTTTTCTCCTTTGTTACAAGCCGATTCCATATTAGTTTTTAACTGTTAAACAGGGCTAGGAATATTTAATAAAGAGAATTTATTGACTAGATCATTTTTTCCCCAATTGTGGATGGTTTGAGTAATAAAAATATACCAGGGCTAGGAAACACTACAAAAATGTATAATGATTATTAAATCTAGGAAACAAAAGAGTGAAAACAAATTCTGGTGTCCTTACGTTGGCTTTGTACCTGCACTGTGGGGACCATCTTGCTAGATGGAGCCCACAGTTAGTCGGGTGGTTGGCTTAGTGGCCTAAGCATCAAGTATGAAATACTTGCATTTAAAGAAACCCCAGATTTGAACGTTCCATAATCTTTCATTTTCCCAAGGTGATAAATTGAGTATCACAAAAAAGTTTGCTTAGTTGAGTCTTTTGGACAAGACTTTGTGAAATGAGTTTTTGCCTGCTGTCTTTGGACATTAAAGACTCCAGGGTATTTTAGTAAAAGCAGTAGCTTATCCTGATGTCCATGCTTGAGAATTTCCCTTTCAATTTATTGTCTGTTCATCTCAGTGGGTGCTGGATGTCCATCCACCTACCTTTCTCCATCCCAAAGGTGACTCCATTTTAGTGATGCAGTGTTTCCTCCATGTATACAAAGGGCCAAATTCTAGCAGGATGGCTGCCTAAAAATCCACATACTTTGGGGAAGGATTAGGGTAAAGGTTTCCATCCCATTTATGACTCCCATCAAAAACCTACAGAGAGGCTGCTCTAAAGATCATCTGCCACAGGAACTAAGGAAGGGCATATCTGGCAGGGTTCTAGGATTTAGAGAGTGTTGTCCACATGTTGGGGTATGTGCTTCCCCTGGCCTGGCAATAGAACCAATGCATACTGCCACACAAGTGGGATGATTCCTTCTCAGGGCAGGAATAATCTGGATGTGAGGACCTATCTGCCCAGAATACATTCACACCTTATGGCTACTTTTGCAGTACATGGTGGCATTGATGCATTAGGCTGAAACTTGGTTCATGGTTTGTAAAATGCTTGTTATTTTTAGGGTAAAGGATACTATGTACATTTAAGATACTATCAGTACTGTTTATTACCTGTAACTTGAATTCTCTGAATTTTTTCTTACACAGATCCACTATCTTCACCATGTCTCAAAGATCCAGAAGCTGTTAAAGCAGTTGACACTAAAAGAGGGTTACAAACTTTTACATATTTGCCACGGTCATGCTGCGGTTCCATCAGTATGATGGGGGGCTACTAATGGACTCAGCCTCAGAATCTATCCCCTGCACCTGCCTAATAGTAGGGAGTTGTGAAAGCCCCTGAAGAGAAGGGAGAGGGAGAGTGTAACCATCCAGGAGAGAAATTCAGAGCTCTCATTGCAAGTGAGTAATAATAGTTTCTGTCACAAGCTACACTGAACACAGTGCATGACAAAGCAAGATAAAATATCAGTGCATGTTATGAATGCATGTGACTCTCTAGGCAACCCTTTCCTGAAGGATATCATCCCTGGTTCATTCAATGATGTAAAATTATAATTACTCATGTCCCAGGCTCACTGAATAGCCAGTGTATATACCATCCACCTAGCAGACTTCGGTGCCATTATGGCCTATGAAGTGAAAGCTAGGAACAAAATCAAAGTTTTTATCGCATGGCTAAAATCTTGGCGCTAAATCCAGCCCAGGCCTATGCAAGTTGAAAGCAAATGTATATTACTTAAATGTAATTCTCCGATAGCAGCGCACATGGTGTTTGAGTGAATATAGGTTTGTTCACTCTGCAGAAACATTTATGCATGGACTTAAAGACATAAGGTGAAATCCTGGCCCCCATGGAAATCAATGGGAGCTTTGCCATCACTTCAGTAAAACCAGAATTTCACTTCTGGTCACATGGAAAAGGGGAATAATTACCCTAAAAATGACCAGCAGCCACACCAACCACATGCAAGTTGCCATGAAAGAAGCTGCAGGAACTAGCATCGTACTGAGTAATGTGATGACTCTGAGCCAGCCCAACTCATGTGATTTTGGCCTATGACAACAGGATTTCTATTGCACTGAACACAGCTAATAGAAAAACAAAGTATATGTTGCTGCCTGCACCAAACAGGCTTTGTGGGATGTTGCCAGGATTTAGTGAATAGCTGAGACAGTTGCATATTCAGTAAGTGACTTCATATTTAGAGAGGTACTTGGTACTCTCATCTCCCTCATTTAGGCCCAATTCAGCAAAGCGCTTAAGCACAGACTTAACTTTTACCTTTGTTGAATAGGGATGAGATTACTCAAGTGCTTGAAGTCATGCATATGCCTTAATTTACTTAGATTATAAAGTCTTTGGGGCAGCGGCTGTATTTTTGTTCTGTGTTTGTACAGCACCTAGCACAATGGGGTCCTGCTCCATGACTAGGGCTCCTAGGCACGAGGGTAATAAAATAATAAATAATAATAAAAATAATAATTAATAGGTGCTGAATCAAGGCCCTGTGCAGCGCTAGCTGAAACGTTCCACAGGGATAGAATCCTCAGGCAACCAGCCCCCACAGCAAGGGATAGGAGAGTCATCAGGATTGCCATAATTGAAATTAACTGTGTGTTGTTTCAATTAATTGTTCCAATTAGTCTCTCTGTTTCTTTTCAGTTATGCCTTCCTACAACAATGTCACCTGGGATGCTGCTGGAAATTGAAAATGCTCTAACGGCCAGGCGCTCTTCAATTAAAACTCTTACTATTTCTAATTAGCTCCCTGCCATGTTTTCATTGTAACATTGAGAAGTTTTATAGGTGGAATGGATGGGGAGTTGTCATCATTACAAGAATGGCATTGCATTTAGAAATTCCATTATTACAGTGGCAAAAATGAAAAATTAATAGAAAAAAGAACTAAACTGGTATATTTTTAGCTGGTGAAACTTTCTGGTTCTCTTATATTACCTCAGCACCATGGTATGATATTTGGGTTGCAAACGATGCAGGAGAACTTTAAACCCTTGGTCCCTCCACCCACCCTGGCAAACAACCAGCCAAACCAACCAAGTCCAAAAACTCTTTTCAGTAGGCCAAATCCTTATATAAATGCAAATGAATAACAGTATTACAACATGCGCATCCTGGGGATGAGTGCGTGGCTGTGCAGACAGTGTAGACAGGTGAGCTTCCTCAACCATGGGATGCTCTTCTGGGAAGGAGGACAGCTCAGAAGAGATGGTATCCACCTCACCACAAAAGAGAAGAGCATCTTCACATACCGACTCACCAACCTAGTGAGGAGTGTTTCAAACCAGGATCAAAAGGGGCAGATGACAAAAGTCCACAGGTAAGCATAAAAAAGATGACCTTAACAGAGTGCTAAATATTGGGGAGAACATGGAAAATTACAGTAGGGTCGTAGGAGGAACAAGAGAGAAATCAGTGGAGGAATCGCCTCAACATTTTAGATGTCTATGCATCTTTGGAGGACACTTTGCATACACTTTGGAGGACAACATGAGAATTCAAAATGACCTTGAAACATCAGCTAATTGGTCTGAAATCAATATGATGAAATTAAATAAAGACAAGTGCAAAGTACTAAGGAAAGAAAAATCATATGCCCAGCTACCACATGGGGAATAACCGGCTAGGTGTTAGTCTTGCTGAAAAGGATCTGGTGGTTATAATGGATCACAAACTGAATATGAGCCAACAATGTGATTCAGTTCTCTAACAGGTTAATATCATTCTGTGGTGTATTAACAGGAGCGTCATATGTAAGATCTGGGAGGCAATTGTCCAGCACTGGTTGGCATTGGTGAGGCCTCAGCTGAAGTACTGTCACCGATTCTGGGTACCACACTTCAGGAAAGATGTGGGTACTGGAGAGAGTCCGGAGGAGAGGAACAAAAATGATAACAGTTTAGAAAACCTGATCTCTGAGTAAAGGTTAAATAAAATGGGCATGTTTAGTCTTGAGAAAAGAAGACAGAGGGGAAATGAAAATAATTGTCAAATATGTTAAAGGCTGTTATATAGAGGACTGTGATCAATGGTTCTCCATGTCCACTGTATGTAAGACAAGAAACAATGGACTTCATCTGCACCAAGGGAGATTTAGGTTAGATATTAGGAAAAACTTTCTAACGATAAGGGTAGTTAAACTCTGGAATAAGTTGACAAGGGAGTTGTGGAATCCCCATCATTGAAGGTTTATAAGGACAAGTTGAATAAACATCTCTTAGGGATGGTCTAAGTTTATTTGGTCCTGCTTCAGTGCAGTGATTGGACTAGATGACCTCTTGCGGTCCCTCCTAGCCCTACATTTGTATGATTCTATTATTATCCTTTTAAGAATTAAACTAAAATTTGTACTGACACTGTTCATTCACCACATGAGCTATTAAAAATGTATACACATGCACGAAAGTTAGGGGCTGACCCTGAGAGGAACTGAACATCTGCATCTCCCCCTGACTTCAAGAGGGGTCACATGGCTTTGAATTCAGGGCATGGTCATGTGGATTACATACCCTTAGAGTGAAGTGTACAACTCCAGGCAGCAGAATTCTGTAGGGCCAGCCAGCTAACTTCTTTCTGAGCAAGGACAGAGCGTCACCTCCATTTAGCTCAAGGCCAGTGGGCTGCCTGCAAGTTGTGGCGAGGGGTAGGGATTGTGATCTCATTCTGCTCAGTAGCTGCTTTTATGACTCAGTGCAGGACGGTATGCTCAGTAATGCTATCATGCAGATCTTCGGGAATGATAGGAGAGGGAGCCTTTGTTACCCCTTCTTCTCATTCTCTGACTGGTCATTGATGGCAACAGCAGCCACAACATATTGAAGCCCTAACCGAAGAACAACATTGGCTAAATATCCTTTATTTAATTAAAATAGAGAAAGTTTCCCTCACATCCATTGCTTATGCTGTTGTATCATAGCAACACTGTTTATGGTATTTATATAAACCCCAGTTAATCAACCTTCAGTTAGCCAAAATTCCTGGTGAATGAAGGATGAGACATGCTTCTCTATCCTAAACCTTATTTTCCTAAAGGTTTCTCACGCCTCTGAAACCCTTAGGAAAAACAGGGTTACACTGTGTTTGAAATAAACAGTGTTTGCAGTTGATCAAACCTCTGATCTTTGCTTCGATGTTTAATGAGCCTCAAGCACTGTTTATTGCTCTATCTGTTTCAGTGCTGTTAATGTGATCCATGGAATAGCGTCAATCACTGATGAAACAGGAGCATCAAAATGACCATCTTCGTGTGTTATCACAGTAAATAAGACTTTTTTGATCTTATTCATATTTCCAACACACTGCCAAAATATTTTGGGAGTTTTTTCATCCATTGAGGTGAAAAAATCCTATAGGCAAAAGTGCTCCAAAGGTTGAATGCTATAATGGGAATTTCCTGAGAGGAGGAGCTGTACTCTTGGTGAAGGTATTTGTAAAAGGGATACCTTGCTGCCCATGAGATATGTAGATGATAACCCCACCACTCACTGGTCCAACATATCCACAAATCATTTACAATTTTCTTGTCTTTGGGGAAAAGCCTGCTCCAGGAAAAGGCAGTATTTGACAAATAATACCCATTACCTGCACTCAAAAACATTGTCAACACCCCCTCTATTTGCCTACTCCTAAAAATACAGTACAGTGGTCCCATCAATAATGAGTGATAAGGATAACAAAATGAAAACCCTACCAGTAGAGAGAACCAAATCTTCACTCAACTACCATATTTGCAATGTCTCCCATTTTCCCGCCATTTTGGCAAGCAGACGTTACCAAAAAAAAAAAAAAAGCTGGACATGAGGAGTCTTATGTCACCAGATCGAGTTGTTCCCTTGCCATTTCTTTTCCTTCCCTCACAATTCCTCAATGGATCCCATTGCCAGTGTTACTACCACTCTGTTCAGAGGTCCCTCAACTGACCCTGCTTTCCGTTTCCTCTGTAGCATTCTATCCCTATCCTAAAGCTCTGATGGCTTCCATTACTCTAGGCTTCCATTGTTTCCTTCCTTCCTTGCCCTGAAATTCCTTCAGTTCCCACTTCATCTGAAGCTTCCATCCCTAACTGAACCTATTGCACGAAATGGGACTTGCCCAGCAGTCGTTATCAGGGATGGAGAAAAGGTGGGGTAAAACTTTTACAAGTCAACATTCTATGGGAAATATGTTCAGGTGGGGGATGGGAAACAAAAGTTTCATGTAATATAGAACTTCAAAATCTTAGATCTCTGCAAGTATTACAGATCAATGGCCAAAGTGCACACAAGGACAAGAGGAAAAAGGGCAGAGATAACACCCTTTACCATTACAGTGTCTAGATACTTTGTTATATTTATTTACCATTGCGGTCTCCTTTAAACCTTATGTACATGCCTCCTTTAGAGATTGTGCTATTTTGTACATGTGCTAGAGACCTTACAATGTGTACATTTTGATAAATCATTAAATAAATACTATTTCTAAAAGAAGTACTCATTACTTGCAAAATGTTTAGTTTTGTGTGTCCTGATCCAAAACGCTATAGACTAAAGCATAGATCCTTAAAGGTATTTAGATACCTAACTCCCATGTAAATCACTGGGAGTTAGGGGCCTAAATACCTTTCATAAGCTGGGCTTAAAATGTCAAAGGACTCTCCTAAACTCCACCTGCAATAACCAAACCCATCGAACAGTTCACTGCATGCATAATGCTTATTCGTATGTACCAAGCTGATCTTTTGTACATGCAGATGTAATACCATACATACCTTTCTCACAGCTCTTTGTCCCAGGTTGCTGGTGAAGTTGGTGTGCTGGAACACACTCATTATTTTTAAAATTCATGGTTATATGGTGTCCCTTGGAGGCTCAGCATGGAGTAAGATCTTTCAGGGGATGCGATCCTTCCACAGAACTCCTGGGGCACAGAATGGTTCTGCAGGCTGAACCACCTTCATTTTGAGTGGGGCCATGGCTCTGTCTCCTAATCCTCTTTGGGATGATTTAGGGCACAGGTAAGGACCAGTCCCTGTGTTCCCTGGGTCAGACACTGCAATTGTGACTAGCCTGGGTGCAGAATATACAAAAATGGGAGGTTCCAACCATGCTCCTATCCACATGACACATGCTGCCCTCCCAGCAGGCATGAGCTGGATGATAATAAGAATCTAATATATTTTTACATTAAACTGAACTACATTTGTAATAAACGTTAATGAATGCGGCACAGTATGGAATAAAACCCCAACACACAGCTTAGCAACATACACTAATAATTGCATTCAATAAGTGTTAAAAAATAAGTTGACTCTTACAGTCACTCCATGTGCTGTGAAAGAGCCAGAGCTCATTGCCACCCAAAAGCTTTTGCTGAGCAGCAGCACCATATGGTGAAAACTGGATTCCTATTCCTAAGCACGTGGGGCCAAATTCTGCTCTCAGTTACACTGGTACCACTGAGATCAGTTTGGCTTACAGAAAAGCCATTCTGCAGATGTTCTGCAACAGGAGTCTCGGTTCTAATTCAAAATTCTAATTCAATTTTAATACTTGGTCCTGCCATGAGTGCAGGAGACTGGACTAGAAGAGCTCTCGAGGTCCCTTCCAGTTGTACGATTCTATGTCACTATGATTCTTTGGGACATTGAGTGAGGTTCTGTCATAAATATAAAGGGAAGGGTAAACCCCTTTGAAATCCCTCCTGGCCAGGGGAAAGCTCCTCTCACCTGTAAAGGGTTAAGAAGCTAAAGGTAACCTCGCTGGCACCTGACCAAAATGACCAATGAGGAGACAAGATACTTTCAAAAGCTGGGAGGAGGGAGACAAACAAAGGTTTTGTGTCTGTCTGTGTGCTTCTTGCCAGGGACAGAACAGGAATGGAGTCTTAGAACTTTTAGTAAGTAATCTAGCTAGGTATGTGTTAGATTATGATTTCTTTAAATGGCTGAGAAAAGCATTGTGCTGAATAGAATAACTATTTCTGTCTGTGTATCTTTTTTGTAACTTAAGGTTTTGCCTAGAGGGGTTCTCTATGTTTTTGAATCTAATTACCCTGTAAGATATCTACCATCCTGATTTTACAGGGGGGATTTCTTTATTTCTATTTACTTCTATTTTTTATTAAAAGTCTTCTTGTAAAAACTGAATGCTTTTTCATTGTTCTCAGATCCAAGGGTTTGGGTCTGTGGTCACCTATGCAAATTGGTGAGGCTTTTTATCCAACATTTCCCAGGAAAGGGGGGGTGCAAGTGTTGGGAGGATTGTTCATTGTTCTTAAGATCCAAGGGTCTGGGTCTGTAGTCACCTAGGCAAATTGGTGAGGCTTTTTACCAAACCTTGTCCAGGAAGTGGGGTGCAAGGTTTTGGGAAGTATTTTGGGGGAAAGATGCGTCCAAACAGCTCTTCCCCAGTAACCAGTATTAGTTTGGTGGTGGTAGCGGCCATTCCAAGGATAACGGGTGTAATATTTTGTACCTTGGGGAAGTTTTTGACCTAAGCTGGTAAAGATAAGCTTAGGAGGTTTTTCATGCAGGTCCCCACATCTGTACCCTAGAGTTCAGAGTGGGGGAGGAACCTTGACATGGTGGCACAGTGGTGGGATTAACCTGAAATCATTTGAGATCCAGTTGAGATTTTTTGAACTAGAAATACAGATTTTAAAAAGGAAATTTTTTTTTCTTTGGAAAGAAAGTCCAGAAAGCAGCTTTGAAACTGAAAGCAGCTTGGTTTCTCTCTGCTTTGTGGCCAAGCAGAGACAAAAGGGGATTATCTTGTGAATTGCAGGTTTTTTTTGCCTGGAGGCAGGGTACTTAACTCCTGCAGGGAAATCTTCCAATCCAGAGGTTTTTTTTTCTTTTCTTCCTAAAAGTAAATAGGGGGTGTGTGTTCTACCCATTTGCTTTTTCTTTGGGCTGGGTAAGCAGGTTTCCAAGTAGTTGGAGGTTTTTTGCTTTAATTTGGGCCCAGAGCAGAGACAAGGGAATTGTCTTTTTCTGTAGGCTGACAGTCACTATCAGAGAATAGGTATTCTATTCCAGCACAGCAAAATTTTACAGCCACGTTTTGTTTGTTTATTTCTAAACCTCGGGTGTAAAGTTAGTTAAAAACAGAGAGGTTAGAATGACCAAATCCTCAGCTCGACTACAGCTGGAATTAGCCAAATTTCAGGCTGAGGAAAGACAAAGGGAACATGAAAGACAGATAGAACTCATGCGGCTGGAGAAGGAGGTACAGGAGGCTGCCCACAAGAGGGAAATGGAGGCAAGGAAGCATGTGGAGGAGGAGAAGGAAAAAGAGAGGAAGCATGTGGAGGAGGTGGAGAGGATAAAGGCCCAGCAGAATATACCAACAAACCCTAGCAATCCTTCTCCAGGTACCACTTCCCATCCCAGAAAGTTCCCCACCTACAAGGCAGGTGATGATACTGAGGCCTTCTTAGAAAACTTTGAAAGGGCCTGCCTTGGGTACAACATCTCTACTGACCAATACATGGTAGAGCTGAGGCCGCAGCTCAGTGGACCCTTAGCTGAGGTGGCAGCTGAAATGCCTAAAGAACACATGAACAAGTATGAACTGTTTAAATCCAAGGCGAGAGTCAGAATGGGGATAACACCCGAGCAGTCTCGTCGGAGGTTCAGAGCCCTAAGGTGGAAACCAGACATGTCATTTACCCGACATGCCTACCACATTGTGAAACATTGGGATGCCTGGATATCAGGAGCAAGTGTTGAATCTCCAGTAAATTTGCCCTTCCTAATGCAAATGGAACAATTCTTAGAGGGTGTTCCTGAGGAAATAGAAAGATACATCCTAGATGGGAAACCCAAAACTGTAATTGAGGCAGGAGAGATTGGAGCCAGATGGGTGGAGGTGGCAGAGAAGAAGAAAACTGGTCGCAGTTGGAGCGGAGACCAGAAGGGACCACCCCAGACCACACCCTATTACCGGGGGCCGCCCAAAGCCCCACCTACCTCCCAAAGAGCCCTCCAGACCCCTTATCGTCCCACCACCCCGTTCTCCAGCAGCCCTCCTCGCCCCAGTGACCCGTCAGCTGGACGATGTTTTAAATGTAACGAGCTGGGGCATGTAAAGGCCAACTGCCCCAAGAACCCCAACAGATTACAGTTCATTGCACCGGAATCACACCAGAGGTCCACAGGCCCAGATACCTCCCAGATACCCTTGGAGCGGAGGGAAACTGTGAGTGTGGGCGGGAAGAAGGTCACCGCGTGGAGGGACACCGGAGCACAAGTGTCAGCTATCCATGCTTCCTTAGTGGACCCCAATTTAATCAACCCAGAGATCCAAGTGACGATTCAACCCTTCAAGTCCAACTCTTTCAATTTGCCTACAGCCAAGTTGCCTGTCCGGTACAAGGGCTGGTCAGGAATGTGGACTTTTGCAGTCTATGATGATTATCCCATCCCCATGCTGTTGGGGGAAGACTTGGCCAATCATGTGAAGCAGGCCAAGAGGGTGGGAATGGTCACCCGCAGCCAGGCTAAACAAGCCGTGAGGCCTAGCTCTGTTCCGGAAACTTCTATCAGGACCCAGTCAGAGGTGATGGACCTGGACCCCAGGCCAATGTCTGCAACAGCAGTAGTGGATCCAGTCCCAGAGACCCAGATGGAACCAGTCCCAGAACCGGAACCAGCCGAACAACCAACACCAGACCCCGTGTCAGCACTGAATCCAGTACTTGCAACCTCAACAACAGAGGGCCCCACCGAACCTGAACTGGCAGCAGCCGATAACCCTACACAAGAGGCTCAGCCGGAGCCTGAATCCCAACATAGTGCACCAGCGGAGAGCGGTTCACAGTCAACAGAAACAGCTCCATCCCCTATATCACTTCCAGAGGGACCAAGCCTAGGTCCACAATCCCATGAGGAACTGATGTCTCCAGCATCAAGGGAACAGTTCCAGACCGAACAGGAAGCAGATGAAAGCCTCCAGAGAGCTTGGATGGCGGCACGGAGCAACCCACCGCCTCTCAGCTCTTCTAATCGATCCAGGTTTGTTATAGAAAGAGGACTTTTATACAAGGAAACTCTTTCTGGTGGACACCAGGAAGACTGGCATCCTCAGAGACAGTTGGTAGTTCCAACTAAATACCGGGCCACGCTCTTGAGCTTAGCCCATGATCACCCTAGTGGCCATGCTGGGGTGAACAGGACCAAAGACCGTTTGGGGGGGTCATTCCACTGGGAGGGAATGGGCAAGGATGTTTCTACCTATGTCCAGTCTTGTGAGGTGTGCCAAAGAGTGGGAAAACCCCAAGACCAGGTCAAAGCCCCTCTACAACCCCCTCCCCATCATTGAAGTTCCATTTCAGCGAGTAGCTGTGGATATTCTGGGTCCTTTTCCGAAAAAGACACCCAGAGGAAAGCAGTACATACTGACTT